CCCAATCCCCTTTTTATTGCGACTTTTTTCCAACTTCCAAGGTCAACAAAATCCACACTCTCATATTCCATATATGCTTGCCCTAAATTATATCTAATTCCAAATTTGCTTCCTATCATGGGTGCACATGGTAGATTGGTTTGGGTTAAAGGGATTTTTTTTTCTTTTTTTGATAATTTAGGATGCGTTTGGTTGGTAATCTGCAAATAAAAATTTGAAAACGAGGGATTCAAGGAGAATGAGAGTTGTATTCTTTGTTTTCAATGTTTTCACGTATGTGTTTGGTAACATATTTGGTAACTGAATCTCAATTTAAAAAATTGTTCAATGTGTAACTCTGCATCTTAAAATTTTCAAATTCTGAATCTAAAAAAGTTTGGATCAAATAATCCCAAAACAGTTTTCAAAAACGAATCTCTCAAATCCTGCCAACAGAATTTTGGAGCCTCGATAAAATTGGAGAAACTTTCTGGTAAATCTATCCTGAAACATCACCTTACTCCCAATATAGAAATCCTTCCTAAAAGGCTTACTACCCTGGTCCGATAGCAGCAAAATGTTCCTAAAGTACAGACTCTCGTACCCTTCCAAGAGGGGATTACAAAAGGCTCTTTCGAGCTTCTTTGTGAAGGTTCTGCAGCTTCCTTGGAGATGGGGAATGAAGTATTTCTGGGATACTCTCTTGGATGCTGATCTTGAGAGTGATGCTCTTGGTTGGCAGTACATATCTGGCACGCTTCCGGATGGCCGTGAATTTGATCGTCAAACAGACCCTTATAAATTTAAGTTGGTCGGTTCTGCTTCTCAACGTACCAAATTTTTTTGGATCAATTTATAAATTTAGGTTTTGGATCAATTTATAAATTTAGGTTGGTCGATTTTATTTTCAGGTTAGAGTTGAGTTGGGTCACCGTGTTGCTAAAGTATGAATTTTCTTGAATATTTATAAACAAAATCTACCAGCTCGAATAAGGTGCAATAGCAACTGCTATGGTGAAGATGAGTAGAGGGAGAGAGAGGGAGGTAGTGTGACAACAACAACCTAAGGTCAAATTTTATTATTATTCTATAGGTCGATTTGGTTTCGAGTTGAATTGACTACAAATTATCCCAATTTATGAATTGGATCGGCTCTTTCAATTTTACAAAAAAATCAACCCAAACCAAAATCGAAAAACTTTCAAACCCAATTCAACCCTTAGGGTTTGGGTTGAGTTCTTCGAACTGTCGATTAATTTAAACACCTCTAGTTCCTAAAGCTTGGATGGAGTTTTAATTTGATTTATATTCTTTTGGTTACATTTCAATTTGGTCCCTGTGAACTTCATTATTGTTACCATATTTAATATGTGTTGTTTTTTTTATTACTTGATAATAACTGATGTTTATATTCTTGTGCTTCTTGAAAGCGTGAATTGAGTTTAAAGATTGGGTAAAAAGAAAATGAAGAACTGAAATGAAATTAATTAGTATAAACTATCGAGAATAAATTAAAACTTTGGATGAAGTTGAAATCAATTCAAATCCAGAGTTATTTTAGATAATTTATATGAATTATATGGCCAAATTTGTTTTCAATTATTTATCTTGTTATCGTTTTAAAAATTTTATTTTAACCTTTTTGAGTTTGTTTAGCTGGTTTTAATGGGCTAAAAGTGCATTTTGTTTCTAATTTTTTCAAACTTGCTATGAAGTCATTTGTCTTTATTAAACGTATTAATTATTATGAAAAAAACCTGGCTCCTTAGTCGTGATTGAGTACTGTGCTCCTTACTCTCACGTGGTCCTATAATAAGATGACAAATGTTGACTGTTACTTTTTTTATTACTTTATTAAAATTAAAAAAGAATCGGTTTTAATGAAATAATAAAAAAAAAAAGCAATAGTCAACATTTGTATTCTTATTAATAGGGCCACGCGAATTAATGAGTGAAGTTTTTTCCAATTATTATTATTCTTTTTAAATTATAAATTTAGTCTCTAAACTTTTAGATGTGTATCTAATAAAAGTCCATAAATTTCAAATAGTGCCCAATATGTCAATAACTTTCAATTTTTGTGTCCAAGAAATCCTTAAAATTTAAAAGTGTCTAATTGAGATTAATAAACTTTAAATTTTTTATTTAATAGGTTCCTAACCTATTTGATTTTTTTTTTTAAATTAACGAGTCTATTAGACACAAAATTGAATTTTGGATTTAATAGAATGGAAACTTTTTTTCGTGAAGTAGATGCATGCTTTTAGAAAATGTAAAATAAGTTAAAGAATATATATCATACACAAATTTGAAAGTTTGAGAACCTGTTGAACAATTTTTAAAGTTTAATTACGATGCAAAATTAAAATTTCAGAGATCTATTAGACACTTTTGAAAGTTTAGAGATTTATTAGATACAAATTTAAAAATTTATAGATTAAATTTGTAATTTAACATAAATTTTAATCCAACATGATAAATTGACAGAACATGATAAAATGACAAAAAAATAAGTACATAAATTTTGTTAAAATTATAAGTAATAAATTATTAACTATTATATTGGTGACCATTTAAAATTTATAAGTTTCATGTTTTTTTAAACAATAAATTTCATGTTAGCTGGAGCCACCACTACAAATTTGGACTTCAGTTAAAATATTTTATTAACATAATTTATAACAATTACTAATATGAAATATACCTCTGATATGCCGTTTTGTTATACTGTTAATATATTCACTATTTTTTTTTTCAAGTTGAAACAATAATACAAACAAGAAAAATAACGTTAAAGTTAATATTAACTAAGTTGATGTGGACAATGCACGTCCAAAAAAACACCTTAAACCAACACTAAAAATTTTGTCATTACAACATGACATGACAAAACAGAACGAGATATTATCTCCAAAGACAATCTCCAAAAAGAAGCTGATCATTATCAATCTAATTTACTTGAAGATTTCTCAAAATGGAAGAAAAACTTGTCTCTTATAAATTATGCTTAGACTTAATAGGCTATTAAGAACGATAGATTTTTTTTTTTTTTACATTTTTATGGATATTATGATCTATCTCTAGTTTTTTATGTTCATATATAATACAATGTCTTTGACGTTTGATGTACCTATGATTTCTAATATAGTTCTGATTTTATAAGCCATCAAGTAGGTAACCCCGAAAGAGGGAAGAGATTTTCGAGTATGGGACCAAACTCACGAATCCCTGATTCTAAGATTAGATATTAGTTAGTTCAATGATAGAGGAAAATGTACGGTTGGCTGCGGGTGGGTATATACCCTGCCTTCTCTGATACTTTCCTGAGCATTTCACACTAAACTCTTCGATCATGCCTGCCGCTTTTAGACAATTTTGAATTTAGAGATATGATAAAATTGTTTTTGGAACTAAAAACTTCTAAATTTTTAATGTACATGAATTAGATTTACGACTTTAAAAGTTAAGAAATTTATTAAAATCTTTTGATATAAAAAATTGAATAGATACCATTATAAAATTTTGAACTTTCCTTCTTAATAATATGCATTTGCATAAAGAGCCACTGCAATGCTTTCTCGATGGCCAAGAGAAGCTCTTTATCATAATTTAAAAAATAATAATAATAAATAAATATTTTTAAAAATAGAGATTTGAACTTACAATCTCTTCTTGACCAGAAATAAGTGGTTTAACCAGTTAGACTTATGTTTGGATTGACTTGAAAGTAAAGAAAATGTCATCGACTATTAAATTTTTGTAGACATCGACATATGGAGTGAATCGATGTTTCTATAGTATTACAAAAAATTGACAAAATATAAGAAAATATCACTAATAAAAATATAATATTAATACTTATTTAAAAAGGTGAAATATTTATTTATTAATTAAATTTTTTATTTTTATAATCTTTTAGAAATATCAATCATATTGATATTTTATAGATATCTTCGCGCGCGTGTGTATATATATATATATTTTGAATATGACAGTGAGATCTCCCATTTCTATCATTATCAACATTTAAATATCACAACCATGTTTTATTTTATTCCATTAATTGATTATGTACTTTTTAGCAATTAAATATTTGGACATTTTTGTTCCAATTATTTTTTTTCATATAATTGGACATTTTATTATCTTATTTACAAATTTAGATTTTGTGGATAGCGTTTTATTATATTATTAATGTGTGACTTAAACAAGGTGAAGCTAAATAATAATAATAAAATAATATTGGTGAAGAGTTTTGATATTTTTATAAGCTCAGTAAAATTTTGAGATCTTTGCCCATCGATAATATCAAGATATTACATTTTCGTTGTATATGTGCATTTCAATATGTTTATAAATTTGACAACCGAATAATCAAAATTTTTATAATATCACAAAAAAATTATAAAATAAAAATAATATAAACAAAAGATCACTAATATAAAGGAACTGACAATGAGACTATGATAAATTTGACAATTTTTTTCTAAAAATATCAATTGACATTAACATTTCATATCAATATTTTAATTAACGTTTTCATAAAATTGGAATCTCAATATTTTTATCGAAATCTGCATTATTAGACACAATTTTAAAAGTTTTAAAAGACTAGTAAAAGATTCCTCCCTCTCTCACTCGGTTTCAGATCAAATAGCCACTTACGAGTTTTTTTGTACCACGTCTGAGGATGGGTGATCGAACTTACAACTTCAGCGTTCATGGTTGAAGATATATGACAATTATCACTGAGGCCGCACAATAGATATACTTTTTTGGGTGGAATGGATAGGGATCTGAAATTCCTCGTATAGTTATTTTGGCAAATAAACACTTATTTTTTCTAATTTTTCTTTTTAGAAAAAATAGACACCTACTTAAACTCATGAATAAGTGTTAATTATAAAATTTTAGGACCAAATTTACAACCGTCCCTTTTAATGGACAAAAATACTTTTTTCTTTTTGACTTTATATTTATTATTTATTCAGAAATCAAAAAGGAAAAAGAAAGTCCTAAATCGTATACTCACCCTAACTTCTTTCCGTTTTCCCCACCTTTTATCTTTCTTCTCTGCTATCTGCCGCAACCGGTCGCCGACGCGCAACCGTCCACCGCGATCTTCAGCCGCCGCTCCTCGCCGTGGTCTGCTGCCAGTTTCCGCCGCCCGATCTTCACCTCTCTTTCTCTCTCTTAGTCGATCTGCAGTGTTTGCTGCCAAGGTCAGTTTTCGATTTTCTGGATCTGATATGAATGCCATGATCGATAATGATAATAATGCAGTGTATTTGAAGTTGGTTCTTCCGAATCTGATCTTATTGCTATGGAATATGGATAAGAATCTGAGCTATCAAGAACCCTAAACACTCTCTCTTTCCTTTCCCCATCCACCGTTTTTTTTCCTTTTTGGTTTCTTCGGTTCAACCAACTCCAAAACAGGGGAAATTTGAAAATTAGCTCAATTTTAATTTAAAAGCCTGCAAAATCAGACCTATTTCGGATGGAAAATGGTTATGTGAACGGATTGAAGTCAGAAATTACGAATTTTTTTTGTATTCCTCATTACATTTCCAGAGTTCCAGTTCAACTGCTGAGCTCCCCTTCCCTCTTCTCTCTTGGCTCATTTATAGCTACTATTTCTTTATCTCTCCATCTCTCGGTGTGATGAGCTTCCATTTTTTTTTTGTTCGCCTCTCGGAAGTGTAGAATTGCAAAGGAGCAAATGTATTTCGCCTCTCGGCTGTGATTTTGGAGTAATTATGAGAGAGAAATTGAAAAATGTATTTTGAACATGCATCAGCTGATAATTTTTTGGGATTAGTAGTTTCAAATTTCCCCTTTTTGGAAAGTCTCAGTTTGGTTCAAATCTTGGAAATTTGAAAGGTTTAAGATGGGAAATTATGCCCGATGTAACCCCAAACCAGTTGAAATTGAACCGATGAAATCAGAACTGATTTTCCCGAATCAAGCTCATTGGTTTGGTTGTCCATTTCACAAACCAATGGTATTGTTTTGGTTATTGATTTAGCCAAAAACCTTGTTTACCTAATAATAGTATATCAAAACCACTAGCCATTGTTATGAAAGTTATGCAAGAAACTTCTAAAAAGAAATAGTTTAAGAAAATAGTGAAAGAATTGTAGTCAAACGTGTCACCGAACCACCAAGTGGTAGCTTAGATTGAGAAAATTTAAGATGCTGAGATTCGTACTTGTTGTGAAAACCCTAGTTAATTTTATTTGGGTACGTGAAGCTCTAATTCACAAACACTAAAACTCTCTACTCGTTTGATTACAACCCTAAGGTCTAGGTTAGAATATGCTCGCCTTAAATCAAAGTGCTTGAAGCAAAGATCAGGTTCTTTGGCCTAATAGTCGAGCATTCCTCGAGATAACATGATCAATCTTACGAAATTGCAAAAGTTCAAGAAGCTCTTGGCTAACTTGGGAGGACAGGCTCAGAAACTAGAATCCATTCATCAAAACTCTAACATGTCAAACAATCCAACAACAAGACTTTAAATAGCCTCCTAACTAAACTCTAGATGACACGTCATCAATCATAGCAACAAGATAAAACTAACACTACTCAATATGTTAAAAAAGGGTAAAATTGGAAAGTAATAAAATTAAATAAAAAACTCTTAAATAGAAGTGTAGCATTGTTTGAAGTTGTTCATATCATACTTCGTTTATTTGTTGCTGAGGGTGAGTAGAATTGAATTGTAGCCAAGGAAGAGGAAGATGATTCCTCCTCCAGTTAGGCCAGCAAGAATAACCCAATATCTGAAGCCATATGTAATATCTTTTTTTTTTTTTTTGAGTTGAAGAGTTGGACTTTGAAACCTCATTTTATAATATCTTTCTTTTTTCTTTTTACATCTCAATTTTTAAAAAGTAATTATTAACACTTATTGACCTCGTTTAAAATTAAAATATGGTAATTAACCTTTTAAACCACAGTGTAAGATCAATTATTTTATAATTATTTATAGACATAAATATAATTCGACTAATCAAAGACGTTAGTGGGTTGAAATTTCGAATTCTCCACCTTTGTTCAATACAAAAAAGAAAAGAAAAAGAAATTTCATTTGCTTTTTAATTAAAATGGAGAAGTGATAGACGGACCCATTCTAACTAAACTGAATGAAATTGGTTTGGTTGGTTCAATTCAATTCTCATTCCAAAAGAGTGGTGATAATCAAAATTCACGAAGGAAAACAACTAGAGAAACGATAAAAAAATGACACACTTAGCCAATAAAATAGTTTGTTTGGTCAAAGAACTAGGAACATAAATAAATTTTAGTCCACTAAATACCTTTTCCAAAGTCGTAATATCCTCAACCTCATTCAATGATGTTGGAGGAGACTTCTCAAAATAAAGGATTTTGTTGAAACCTCTATTTAGTATTGGGAGAGAAATAATTGCCTCTAAAGTTGCCTTATTATCCACCATGACAGGTAAGGAATGATTAGACAAATTCTCCAAGTCATGCTTGTCACAGATCTCAACAATTAAGAATGATAGCCTTCACAAATTCCAAAGTAGTATTCGAATTGATTGCCACCGTACCTGCACTGTCGGCCACTTTCTGCTCCATCATCCTTGCCTTTAAGTTCTCTGAACTAGGATGCAATGAAGATGAAGAGTTATCTAAAGAAATCGCAAATGGGTGTTCTCTCCAATTCTGTGCTTGATAACTCTTTAAAACGTCCTAATGACGAAGCCACAGACTATACATAACAATGTTGCCTTAACCAAAGTAAGTATAGCTTAGTAGTAATTGACATATATTTCAAACTAAGAGATTGTGAGTTCGATCTCTCATCACCACATGTTTGTATTTAATGTTGTCTTTGATTTTGTTAGCTGCAACAACATTATTAGTCCAAGAAATTGCAAGCCATGAAAGAGCTGAAACAAAGCCTGAAAGAAATATCTTCCGAAAAAACTCAGCAAGAGGATGGAGAAAAAATGCACACCCTCCCCATAGGGGAGCTGGCCATTTGCCACCCTCTCCAGAAGAAACTTTGTCTTCACCATAGAAATAATTATTTAAGACTTTATTAATTTTAATTAGTTATTAATAATAAACTGAGATTTAGTTTTATTTTTATTTTATAATTTCAGACATTTGAGCGGATGTAATGTTTTAGAGAAACCCTATGAGCAGAGCTCCTCTTTAGCGCTACGGCAACCGCCCAATCACCGTCGCCGTCGCTGGTACTGGCGGTGGCCACCGTTCGATCCATCGCCTCTGATTAGAATCTTCCTCAGATCCGCACTTCTGGTGCATGTGTGAAGGTTGAACTCCCCTCCGTTTGGATTTCTCCGTTGCAGGCCGTGCAAGACCTGCAAATTCCTTTCCCGACAATCAACCGCACGATGAAGCAACTATGGAAGATCTCAGTTCCTCGTAGATTCTTAGTGAAGCGCAACATTTTTGCTCCATTTACCTTTCCTCTCACGAGGACTTCAAATTACTTGATTCTTCGTGGCCTCCATACTCAGACCCACACTTCCTCGTTGCTTCCACCCTCGCTCTCTTCATTTTCGTTGCTTCCTAATATTATTGAATTATTCTCTAACAAGCCTTCCGATCATGACCTTCTGGTGAGAATGAATATGCAACGGAAGTTAACGGAGGTGCGGCACGAGCTGATTCAGAATGCCGACGATTCTGACAAGATCGTGAAAAAATTGGAAGACTGTGAAGACTTGCTCTTACGGAGACATGCCGATGGTTCTGCTTTTGTTGAACTGCTGAAGAAGTTGGATTCACGGCCTCACTTAGCACTGGAGGTGAGTTTAATTCTACATGCTCAAAGGAAATTGCTTCATATGTTGTTTCTATGATTATATGCTTTATGTGGGGATTGCTTACGGTTGTAGTCAGTATTAAATGGTTAATGTTATTGTTTTAGTTCTGTCTTACATGGATTATTTTTCCTTCTTTGTACTAAATGTTGAGGTCAAGAACATCTAGATGATAATTCAAGTGAAATAAAATTACTGGGATTGTTGGGCAATGACTAAGATGCTGCTGTTAACTTTGAGTTTAGTTATTCATATTTACGGAAGGTTGAAATTTCATTGAAGCTGAATTATTACTTTTGATGCTTCATATTCAATATTGTTATGACTGTAAGTTGCATCACTGAATCCCCATTTGATTACAAATAACTTGGTAGTCATGTACAAGACCTTGGTAAACAATTTGATGAAACCAAACTTCTGATCAGCCTATTCTTTTGAACTTAGGTGTTTAATTGGAGAAGAAGGCAAGAGGGTTCCTTTCCTATGACTGCAGAGGAATATGCTAAGGGTATTACAGTTGCAGGTAGATCTAAAAATGTTGACCTTGCAATTGAGTTGTTCACTGAGGCTTCTAATAGAAGGATCAAGACAACCTCTACTTACAACGCACTGATGGGAGCTTACATGTTTAATGGCTTGGTTGACAAATGCCACTCATTGTTTAGGGACCTCAAGAGGGAGGCAAATTGTGTTCCTACTATTGTAACATATAACATCCTAATATCAGTATTTGGTCGTTTGATGTTAGTTGATCACATGGAAGCAACCTTGCAAGAGATACGTGATTTGAAGCTCTCCCCCAATGTGAGCACGTACAATAACCTAATTGCTGGGTATGTTACTGCATGGATGTGGGATAGAATGGAGCAAACCTTCCTGACAATGAAGGCGAGTTCAGTAAAGCCCAACACAGAGACTTTTTCACTAATGCTTCGTGGATATGCACATTCTGGTAATCTTGAGAAGATGGAAGAGATGTATGAATTGGTTAGAGGTCATGTCAGTAACAAGAATTTTCCTCTTATTAGGGCTATGATATGTGCATACTGTTGGAGTTCTATTGCAGATAGAGTGAAAAGGATTGAGGCTTTGTTGAAGCTTATTCCAGAAGAAGAATATAGACCATGGTTGAATGTCTTGTTGATTAGAGTCTATGCCCAAGAAGATTGGTTAGAGGGAATGGAGAGTTCAATAAATGAGGCATTTGAGCATGGTACTTCAGTAACTACTGTCCACGTGATGCGCTCCATTATTGCCAGCTATTTTCGGTGTAATGCAGTGGACAAGCTAACAAACTTTGTTAAGCGTGCTGAATGTTCAGGTTGGAGAATCTGTCGGTCTTTATATCATTGTAAAATGGTTATGTTTGCATCGCAGAAGCGCCTTGAAGAAATGGAGTGCGTCCTAAATGAAATGAAAAGTATCAACTTGGACTGGACAAAAAAAACATTTTGGATTTTATATAAGGCCTACTCAGTCAGTGGTTGCAGGTACAAGGTGGACCAAGTGGTAGGTTTGATGTGCAAGCTTGGATATGGGATTCCCTTGGATTCTTGTCCATCTTGATATTCTCTTCATTTTGAAGGATTTACGGAATGAAAATTCCACAATTGTTTTTATTGGTATTCCTCATGAATAAATGCAGAACAGAGATTTCTGAGATCACTTAGGTATGCATCACATCTCGTTCTTATACATACATATATACATACATATATATATATATACATACATATATATATATACATACATACACATACATACATATATATTGAGTTCCGAGGATTTTAACAGCCTTAATGTCTATTATAAATTTTTTTTGTTATCTAGTAAACTATTTTGGTATTGGAAGGTAAAATAATTAGTGTCTATTTTTAAACCAAGTAAATTTAGTTCCTGCAATATAGTACCCACTTTGGCATTGAAATGAAAAATCACTCATTGGTTTCAAGATCGGACCTTTAAACATAAGACAACAGTAGTGTTGCTAGAGAAGTAATCCCAACTAAACAAATCTACCGAAAGGTAAGTTCTAATTCTAGAGATAATATAATAACTACATGAAAACTTGACTTCAAAGTTCCCAATAGAAAATAAATAAAAATTATCAAAATTTCTATTCCTTTTAAGCTTACCGAAAGACAAAGTAAAACCTTGTTCAAAATTCACTCGATAAAGAAAGATAAAAAATAACATTGAAATGGAGCAAGGAAAAAAAAGAATCAACTTTGTAGACCAAATTTTTTTATTAAAAAAAGAAAAATAGTTTATCCACTGGAACCAAAGTATTGTTAGGACATAAAACCTTTGTAACAACCCAACAACACCCATAACAATAAGAAAGGGACAAAGTATAAAATTGTCATGATTGGTTTTATGTTTAAAACTGAACACTATTTATTTTACCCTTCAATACCATAATAGTTTACTAGATAATAAACATTTTTATAAAAGGCATTTAATTAAGCCTTAAAATCCTTGGAGCTACAAAGGAAAAAAGTTCACATAGCTTATGGATAGTGTATAGTGCTACCATGATGATCTTGAATGGTTTTCAAGTAAACCAGGAGTTATTCATTGTCATTCCCTGTTATTAGTTTTGCTTTGTAGTATTGTTTGTTTTGCTAGTTCTCGCTATAGTTAGAAAATTTGTAAGTTTTGCCTTGTAGTATTGTTTGTTTTGCTAGTTCTCGCTATAGTTAGAAAATTTGTAAGTTTTGCCTTGTAGTATTGTTTGTTTTGCTAGTTCTCGCTATAGTTAGAAAATTTGTATCTCTGATTTTATTCTAGCATGACAACTCAGTTATGCTTCTACTTATTTTTTGGGAGGGGCGGGAGAGAATTATGCTGGAGTATGGACTAAAGAAGGTCTAGATTTTTTTTTTTGCTTTCCTTGTTTGGAAAGAGAAGCAGAACTTCGAAAACAAATTTCCACTGAACCATTTACACCATCACCGTGAAATGAGTGATGAACGCTTGACTTTTTGGGCTTCTTTCTCTGCAAATCAAGCTTTATCATTGTGCTTATCACTACAAACTGTCTTTTAAGCGTTTCTCTGATTGTTACATATCCATTGTGGTGGTTTTAGACCCATGGGAAATAACTTCTGTGATTCTATCACCGATTTTTTAGTTTGTATTTGTTTTTCACATGGCTTCATTGCTTATTTCTTATTTCTTAGATGCGGAAAATGGAGTTGGAGCTTGAAGGTTGACTTTTATTTGACTTTCACTGCTCCGTTTGTGTTTCTTAATACGTGGGTGTAAAAAATGGAGCCAATTGGTTGAAGGTTGAGAATGGTGGCGTTCTCTCCCCCCTTTTATTTTTTCTATATTAATGATTTCATAAACTGATACACACTACAAGTATTAAACGAACACATTTGTCTTATTTCATGATTCTTTAAAAACTTAAATTTTAGTTGAATCTAGTATAACATTTTTTTCATCAATCATTCCCTAATTTATGGATTTTAATTGTGCATATTGCTCTAGTGCGATGATTGTTTCATTTATTCAGGATTTTTTCTTGAGGTTTGAGTTCTAAGGGGATGTCAATTCCATGCATTTATTGATTATTTTTGGATTTTTGGATTCATTCCTATGGGATTATCTTCTATTGTTATCCTAAGTAAACTTGTGCCTCCAATTATACTCTAGTAGATCTTGATAGGGGATAAAATTGGATTACAATATAATAGAGAATCACAATGGTTACTGAGCATTCATTCAAGAGATTTAGTTCTCCCCAAGACTAATCCCAAAATATGCCTATCTCTCAATCTCCTAACTCTATTTAATTGATGATTCAACTAACAAAATGACTAATATGCATATTCCCCAGTATCCTAATAGTATGCCCCCAATATATTTATTCATTTTTCTTGATGCAAAGCTTAGTTTCTCATTTTTTTTAAGAAAAGTCCCAATATCCTAACAGTATTTCACTATTCCTAATCTAAAGCATATTCGACCTTACTTGAATGGGATCTGTTCTATAGGTTGTATGACTATGTCCTTGAGTTCTAATCAGTGGAAATTATGGAAAGTAGGTATTTGAATTAATTTGTTTTTTTTTTAAATTGTTGCACACATATTTTTGATTTATGTACAGCCTTACCTCATTGTTGTTTACCCCATTTCTATAAGATGGTAATCTATTTACATACAAATCGGCCTAATTTTGTTAATTTGTTACTTATTTAACTGTTATGTAGATTGGAGGCTGAAACCTGGAAATAGTGCTTTGGGCTGTGTATATAGAGAATTGAGTGGCCCCTATAAAGGTTAGTGCATTATGTTCTGTTTTGGGTCTTTTAATTGTTTGTGTGTTAGGTAACCTTCATCTATAGAAAATCTTTATTTATTTTTTTATTTTACCTTCCATTGAAATTTAGTTTAATTGGATCTAGTTAAAGTGTTGTTCCCGTTGGCTTGTATACTTAGTACGTTATTGGGGGTAGAGCAGATATCAGTCATATCAGTTAAATATTCTTGCAGCAGAAACAAGACAAACTTTCTTTACTGTGACAAAATTAGATATATTTAACATGTCCAGTTTTCAAAATCTCTTAACTTACTCGATAGTGGTAGCCGTTTTATTTGTTAGTATGGAATAAGAATAGCCTATTTGAAGTTTAATAGAATCTCTATGTATCTACAGAATGAACAAAACCTACTTTATTCAACAGGTTACGATTTCTTATATTTGGACAAAACTTAATTTGAGTTTTGATTAAATATCATTTTAATACTGGATATAAACATTTTGATTTACCTTGACTAATTACACGTGTGAGGAAGCGTTTAAAAGGGTGAGTTACGTGTAGAGAGGGGTCTTTGAACTTTTGGTTCCTTTTAAGGAGAGAAGGGGTTCTCTTGAACTCTTCCCCAGCTAGTCGTACTCAACCCTTAGCAACCTCACTCTTTGGATCCTATTAGATTGGTACTAGAGCAGTGCATTCCTCGTGGTGTGTTAGCTAATAAGGAGAGTAAAGGAAGAGCAATGATTTTGTTTGGGATCTTATTGATTTCGGTAGAAATCTAGGGGTGCAATTAGATTGGTATTACAACAGTGCATTCCTCGAGGTGTGTTAGCTAATAAGGAGAGTAAAGGAAGAGTAATGATTTTGTTTGGGATCTTATTAGGTTTAATACTCCTTACTTCTCTCCACCCCTTCCACCCCTTAAAGATTATGTTGTTTCTCTCAACCCAAATCCCCCACTAGATAGCAAAGAACAAGCCTGCCACGAGAACCTCCCCTTCTCACGAGAAGGAAGGAACAAAAGCACTTCCTCCAACATAAGCACCACAATCCCTATTACGAACCCGAAGCACCTCAAAAAAATTAAAGAAACGCCTCCAGATATCCCAATTTCTTGACGGGTTGAAGATGAAAATGCAAGTAGAGTTGAGGATTTGGGTCCCAAATAGGGCTTAGTCGAGGATAGAGAGAACAAGAATTAGGCCTTTGAATTGGACAAACGGTAAGCAGAAATTGAACCCAGTGCCTTCGTTTTGGGATCAAATGTAGTAGATTAAACAACATGAACCAAATTACGTTAGAACTGTCAGAAGCCTATTGTGGTAGAGTAGAGTCGCAGGCCAAATGGGAGAAGTAATTGTGCTTCAAATGAGACAAGAAGTACTCACCAGGGCATCACTGTAAAGAGGAGCTGCACAAGTGTAAGTATTGGAGAACGATGATCTAAAGGAAGTATATAAGGCATTGCAGAAGTTGTCCGTGTGGTCCAACCCCTTGAAGGACTGCCTATGGTTCAAAGAAGGGAGCATGCTGTTGAGACCAAGAAAATCTCCTGTAGATGTTAGATCTTTTCACTATCTTCCGATTTAAAGGGGAGAGATTAATTATTGACTAAAGATATGCTTATTGTTATGTTATCGCCAATCTGGACATAGCTCAATTGGTTGAGGCATATAGTCTCGACCAAAAGGATGGAGGTTTGTTGAAGATTCGAATCTCCATCCAGGAAAAGAAAAAAAAGGATGATAATTGTAGATTGTCATGACTTTAGAGCACTTGATCAAGAAACCATTTTTAACAAATTTACCAATTTGAGTTGTAAGGGAGCCACTTGATGAACTACATGGTGCAAAAGTCTTCTCCAAAGTTGATCTAAAGTTTGGATATCACCCAAACGAGAGTCAAACCTCTCAAGACGTTCTTAAGACTCGTGACCGCACTACGAGGTCATGGTGTTGCCGTTTGGTCTCATGAATGATTTGTTTAAGCCTTATCTGTGTTGATTTATCTTGTTACCTTTGATGGTGTATTCTTCTTTGGTCCCTGCTTGTAGAATCACATCCAAAATAAACTAATAGATAATTAGAAGTGTCATTTTTATGAGGGTAGTTTTTGATGACTCCAAGATTGAAGCAACGTAGGGATAGTGAACTATAGCAAATATAACATTGCCTTTCACACAACAATGAAGAAGCCGTCACAATGTAGTTGGTAGCATTACACCTGTGGGAGAGAAATGACCAAACATATTCGTAATCTATATTTTAAAGTCATTAAGGGTTTCACAAATTTCGAATATGAATCCAATGGTTACTAGGAGACAACTACTCCTACATTGTGGTGGCTTCATTTAGTAATAAACTCTCTGGAACTGATGATATGTTTCTTTCCGCTTATTATGTTTAGTGCATATTTGAAAACTTTTGAGTTGAATGCTTTTGGAGTTTTTTTGGTGTAATATATATTGGATGATTATAAAACATGTGCATATGGTTTTTTTTTTTTTTTTTTTTTTTGTAGGTCAATGAAATGATGCCTTAGTATGATTCAGAACATTTGACATGTTGATTTGTGTCATGTTATATTCTATTTTATTAGGTTACTATTCATATTCTTATTTTATTTATATCAAAATTGAGATTTAGTTAATTATTAGTTGAGTGAGTTTCTAGGAATTTAGGGTTAGTGATTTCCTAGTTTTAGAGAATTTTAGTAGTTGTCTCATACATACAATGTTGTACACAGTAAAATGAATAAAGAAGTCTCTGTTGATAAATTTTTAGAGAGGTTTGGGTTCCTCGAGAACTTGTATTGGGAGGTTTGAATGAACGAGTCTATTTTAACTCCTAAAGTTGTCTAATTTATATTTATATTTTACAAGTTTCTAACAAGTACATACATCTTTAATTTTGTTTATAATAAATTTCTAACGTTAACTTCGTACGTCATCAGTATTTTTATCTTATTTGAAAATAACTTGCCACAGAAATTTTAAATAATGCAATATACATGTTGTGATAAGTTGCAGAAGTAAATTGTAAGAATCGATTTTTCTTGTCTAACCACTGTTGAAAATGCTTCGACTTGTAGGTGCTTAGAAACTTTGCTTGCCTCAGCTTTTAACGGTCTAAGTGATGTGTCTTTGTTTAGGAATTACACTAGGTAGGATTTGAACCTACGACATCGAGTTTTGGAGATCCATGATACTTTCAAAGTGACTCTTGACGGGAGAATCTAGGGCACTTTGATAATTGTGAATGTTGCTGTTATCGGAAGTAGTCTCAATCAATCTTTTTAGGATTTCTTATCACGCAATGCATGGAGATGCTCTCTTTCTATTATGAGATTCAAATAGAGAAAAAACTAATATTTTGTTAGGAAATCTTCTTTTATGGCTTCCACCTTCTGCTCAATCCCAGCCTCCTAATCCATTTGTTTTTGCGAGCAGGGGGTGTTAACTTGGTAGATAGAGCCAGCCAATCTATTAAATACAAAATTTTAAATTTAGAGATATAATAGAGTTGTTTTTGGTACTAAAGAACTTGTAAAAATTTTAATGTACATGAATTAGATTTACAACTTTAAAATTTAAGGAAATTTATTACTCTTTCGATCTAAAAAATTGAATAGATACCATTAGAAAATTTTGAACTTTTCTTCTAATATGCATTGGCATAAAGAGCCATGGCAATGCTTTCTTGTTAGCCAAGAAAAGCTCTTTATCTTAATTTCAAAAAAATAAAATAATAAATAAATGTTTTTTTAGTACAATATATATATAGGAGTGTATATTTGAACTTACTACCTCTTAATGCTTTAACTAATTGCATTATGTTTGATTGGCTTGAGAGCAAACAGAGAAGAAATGTCATTGACTATTAAAGTTTTGTAGACATTGATATATGGAGTGAATCCATATTTCTATAGTATTACAAAAAAACTAATAAAATATAGAAAAAATTACTAATATAGATATAATATTAATATTTATTATTGTTTTAGTACATGAAATATTTATTTATTAATTAAAATACTTGTTATGAATTTTTTTATTTTTATAATCTTTTAGAAATATCCATCATATTGATATTTTATAGATATTTTATATATATATTTTTTCTTCTTAATATAATATTTTCATAAGATTGAGAACTAACATTTCTATCAATGTCAACATTTAAATATCACAACCATGGTTTATTTTTATTCCATTAATTGATTATGTATTTTTTAGAAATTAAATATTTGGACATTTGTATTTCAATTTTTTCCCGTATAATTGGACATTTATTAGAGCAGGTTTTATCTTATTTACAAATTTAGATTTTGTGGGTAGCGTTTTCTTAGATTAATCACTATTATATTATCGGTGAAGCTCAAAAATAATAATAATAGTAAATAATAATATTGGTGAAGAGTTTTTTTTTTTTTAATATTTTTGTAAGCTCAGTAAAATTTTGAGATCTTTACCCATTTACAATATCAGGGTATTAAATTTTCATTGATATATAAACATTTCTATATATTTATAAATTTGACAACTAATGAATCAAGATTTTTATAATATCACAAAAAAGTTATAAAATAAAAAAAATATAAAAAAAATATCACTAATACGGAAGATTGAACCACAATTAGACCAATGATATGAGTGAAGAGAGGTTTAAGGAGTTTCTATTAGAGAAATTTACCAGAGATGTGGGAGATGGAAGTTTGTGATTTCGTTTCTATGCTGTGTAGCGATTTTATTCTTGCTAAAGTTTTTTAGTATTAGTAAATTTTAATTTGTTTAAAAAGAATGAAATCTTTATATGAATTTTTTATTTTCATAATTTCTTTAAAAAAATATCCATCGATATTGACATTTTATATCGATATTTTTATTAATGTTTTCATAAATTGGAATCTTGATCGACACCCGGCATTACTAGACACATTTTGTAAAGTTTCAAAAGGCTAGCAATTTAACTTTGGGAAAAATACGCTTTTGGTTCTCCACATCTTCTTGCCATCGCTCAGTGTTGTTGTTTCGTGAACCAAAAATGTTCCTTTTAAAATTTTTGGTACTAAATTGAGACCTAAAACTTCAGTGGACAAAAAAGGTATTTTTCTTTTGACTTTATATTTATTATTTATTCAGAAATTAAAAAGAAAAAACCCTAAATCCTATCCTCACACTCACTCCTTTCCGTTTTCCCCACCTTTTATCTTTCTTCTCTGCTATCTGCCGGTACCGGCCGCCGACGCGCCACCGTCCACCGCTATCTTTCGCCGCCGCTCCTCGCCGTGGTCTGCTACCAGTTTCCGCCGCCCGATCTTCACCTCTCTTTCTCTCTCTCAGTCGATCTGCAGTGTTTGCTGCCACGGTCAGTTTTCGATTTTCTGGATCTGATATGAATGCCATGATCGATTATGATAATAATGCAGTGTATTTGAAGTTGGTTCTTCCGAATCTGATCCTATTGCTATGGAATATGGATAAGAATCTGATCTATCAAGAACCCTAAACCCTCTCTATTTCCCTTCCCCATCCACCCTTTTTTTTCTTTTTGGTTTCTTCGGTTCAACGAACTCCAAAACAGGGGAAATTTGAAAATTAGGTCAATTTTAATTTAAAAGCCTGCAAAATCCGACATATTTCGGATGGAAAATGGTTATGTGAACGGATTGAAGTCAGAAATTACGGAAAATTTTTGTATTCCTCATTCCATTTCCAGAGTTCCAGTTCAACTGCTGCGCTCCCCTTCCCTTTTCTCTCTTGGCTCATTTATAGCTACCATATCTTTATCTATCCATCTCTCGGTGTGACGAGCTTCCATTTTTTTTGTTCGCCGCTCGGAAGTGTAGAATTGTAGAGGAGCACGGTGGCTGTGATTTTGGAGTAATTATGAGAGAGAAATTGAAAAATGTATTTTTGAACATGCATCAGCTGATAATTTTTTGGGATTAGTAGTTTCAAATTTCCCCTTTTTGGAAAGTCTCAGTTTGGTTCAAATCTTGTAAATTTGAAAGGTTTAAGATGGGAAATTAGGCCCGATGTAACCCCAAAACAGAGGAAACTGAACCGATGAAATTCAGAACTCATTTTTCCGAATCAAGTTCGTTGGTTTGGTTGTCCATTTCACAAACCAATGGTATTGTTTTGGTTATTGATTTAGCCAAAAACCTTGTTTACCGAAGAACCAAATATCATTTATGTCCTGTTGGTAACAATAGTATATTAAAACTACTAGCCATTGTTATGAAAGTTACATAAGGAATTTCTAAAAAGAAATAGTTCTAAAAAATAGTGAAATAATAGTAGTTAAATGTGTTACTGAACCACCAAGTGGTAGCTTAGCTTGAGAAAATCGAAGATGCTGATGTGAAAACCGCAGTGAATTGGAATTAGGAACTCTTTGAGTATGTGAAGCCTTAATACACAAACACTAAAACTCTCAAATCATTTTATTACAACCCTAAGGTTTAGGTTAGAATATGATTGCCTTAAATCGAAGCCCTTGAGGCAACGAACAAGTTCTTTGGCCTAATAGTCGAACATTCTTCAAGCTAGGATGATCAATCTTACTTGAATGTGCAACTCAAGACATGAAATTGCAAAAGTTCAAGAAGCTCTTGATTAACATGAAAGGAAAAGCTCAAAAACTAAAATCTATTCATCAAAACTCTTATTTGTCAAACAACCTACCTAACAACAAGACTTTAAGTAGCCTCCCAACTAAACTCTAGATGCCACATTATCAATCATAGCAGCTAGACAAAAAAAACACTACTAATATGTTCAAAGAGAACCATCACCGCTCATTGCTCCAAAGGGGCTAGGGTTTAATTAAGAGGGAATGAGTTCAAACCCCATGATGGCCATCTATTTTAGGAATTAGTAATTTTTATGTGTTTTCCAACATCAAATGTTGTAGGATCAGGCAGTTGCCTCGTGAGATTAGTTGAGGTGCGCGCAAGTTGGTCCAGATACTCACGGATATCAGAGAAAAAAAAGTTCAAAGAGGGGTAAAATTGGAAAGCAATAAAATTTCATAAAAAACTCTTAGATAAAAGTGTACCATAATCTGAAGTAAGGCAATTCATATCATACTTATTTGTTTATTTGTTGCTCAGGGTGACTAGAATTGAATTGTAGTCAAGAAAGTGGACGATGGTGATTCCTCCTCCAGTTAGGCCAGCAAGAGTAACCCAATATCTGAAGCCATATGTGTTGAAGATGCACTTCACAAACAAGTACGTGAGTGCTCAGGTGGTCCACTCGGAAACGGCCACGGTTGCTTCTGCTGCGAGCTCGCAGGAGAAGGCGCTGAGGGCGAGTATGGAGTCGACTAGGGATGTGGCTGCTGCTGCAAAGATTGGGAAGTTGTTGGGGGAGAGGCTTTTGCTTAAGGGAATCCCAGCTGTTTGTGTCCACTTGAAAAGAGAACAGAAATATCATGGTAAGGTCAAAGCTGTTGTTGATTCTGTTAGGGAAGCAGGTATTAAGCTCCTTTGAATTCAATCTCTGCTGCATTTGGCTTCGCCCTCCTTCTGATTAAAATCACTGCTCAATATTATCTGTTTTGATGCATTATTGGACTTTTTGTCCTTGTCTCGAGTTTCAAATCATTGATCGGCCGGAGTAGTGCTTTTAGGTGAAACATTTCTTTTACGAGCACTTTTAGAAAATAAACACAAATGAAGAGGTAGTTCATCTAAACGTAATTTCAAGTGTTGGAATTCTTTAAATCATCTTTCTACTAGGGGCGTTGTGTTTGGCTTTTGACCAGATCAATAACCAAAGTATAGCAAAGGAATTAAATTGTGAGGGTTCATGTATTATGTATATAAATTCTTTTTGTTTTTTGACAATTGTGTGTTTGGACTAACTTTCTGCACTTCGACTAATAGGGACAATAATATGACTCTACTGCATCTGGTTGTCGAGGAAACTTATAGGATATTAGATTTTAGGTAGGTGGTCACCATTGTTTGAACTTATTACAACTAAGTTGTGTACTATTTACATTGGCTCTTATTGTATTACGTATATAAATCGAATCAAATAAACCATACATGGAACTTGGTCTTAGTATGTTTTGGATGATTTTTCTAAAGGAATGTTATGTAAGTTTGGCCAAGGATTATATTTAGCTTTTAGGTTTCAAAATCTGACACTTTCATTTTTAAAGATTAAGAAATGAAATACTTCAATATAGTACTTTGATAGCTTGTCAATGTTATCCGTTGTCCAAACAACTATTTCGAGTTTTCAAGGCTCCTAGTAAGGCTTGTTGGAAAATTCGTTGTTTTTCGTAATGAATAGTTTCATTTTTATATTTTTCTAATTGTTTCGAACTCTTTGTTGTTCAAAATGTATACTCATTTTTATAATTTTCTAATTGTTTTAAACTTCTAAGGTTGAATTAATCAAATTTGGAAAATGTTGCTTATTTTATTATTTATAGCTGATGTGGCTTGTTGGGAAAGCTCTCCTCTCCACCCGTAACAAATGTAAATATTTTATGTACATTCTACTTACTATGTTGCTAAATACTATGACAAAAATTTGAAAAATGCCCTTAATTAACCAAAATCACATGACTGCTCTGCTCCCCCAAAAAGAGAGAGACTTGTTCTTGCTCTCCCAATTCAGGAAGACGGAAATCGTCGGTTAGGTTGGTCCAAACAAAAAAAAGTATGAGAGTCTTTAGGCATTGTTTGGCATGGGGGCTTTAACCGGAGACATACTGTAAACCATGCCTTTTGAATGGAAATCTTTCAAGAGGGAGTTCCATAGCGAAAAYGGAGAGAGGAAAATTAAGAAAAAGAGAAACAAAGAAGATTGAAGGGATTATCTCAAACCTGCATACATTGTCGTCGTCGGAACCATTTATGATGGCCACGTCTAGGTGATTGTGATGCTACCATTCCTTTAGGATACCTTTCAGCTTCAGTCAAAACTCTTCCCCTTGAAAAACAAGTATATCTTAGTGGTAATTGGTATATATGTCAAACAAAGAAATTGTGAGTTCGATCTTCCATCTTATATGTTGTACTAAAAAAATCAAAATCACATGTACTAAAAAAAAAACAAAATCGCATTTCATTAAATGGTTAAATATTATTTCCGTATATGCAGTTTATCTTGATCCCTATACTTTTAAGTTTTATTCATTTGAGTTATTGTACTTTTAGAAAATGTATATTTTGATTTTTGTACTTTTAAAAAGTGACTATTTTTATTTTTATTTGTATTTTTTTTCCTATCATAAGTCTAGCATAACCTCACTTAAATTTCTTGAGACGTAGTCATAAATTTATACTAAAGTGTTTCCAATTTTTGCTAGTGTATAAAATTTTATAAATAAAGACTAAACTAGTTCACTTTTAAAATTTTGAAGACTAAAATGAATAAAAGTTAGAAAAAATATACACCAAACTAAATATTTTCAATGATAAAAATTAACATGAATCAAATGAATGAGTACATGACAAAAATTGTGTTTAAACATTCCTTGGATTATGTGAATATGTTGATATGAAAGCGAAGTAGAGACAGAATGGATAAGCATGATATTTTAGGTAATCTAAAATTTTGAAACTTGTGAGTCTGAGAACACTAAACCATGACAGTGATGGTGTGAAAAATCTTCAAGATATTATTGTTTTTTTTTTTACTTTTTTTTTAAGGAAACCTTGAATATTGTTAAAATTTATTAATAACAAATTTGATATATCATTAAATTATTGTTATATTAAGATATTTGACTACATATGCCAATCGGATTTTAATTGACACGTGAAATTCTATCCACTTTATACCAAATTTGAAATTAACATAATCAATTTCTTTCAAGTATCACTCATATTTTTATCAAAATATATATATATATATATATCACTCATATCTAAATTTATTAAAGAAAATAATAATTTAACAACAAATCAACATTCTATTCACAAATTTTAATGAATTATGTTACGGAATGACTTAATTAAAAATTGTTGATACGGTAAAATTGAGAGTTCTAAAACAATTTGTTTTGAAAATTTTAGAGGAGGTAAATAAACGAGAGATTTTTTAAACTTTAACCTTATTATATAATATTTTTAATCTAAAACGAACGGACAATCTTATCCTACCTTCTTCATTCCATCTTCTGTCATGTATTTTTGAAAAATAGTTAAATATATAACCGTTAATATCATTCACTATTTATGTCCATATCGAACTTATGGACATATTTTGCTATTTTCAAATTGTAAATTTTATTTTTATTTTTATTTTTATTTTTAATTAATAAATTGCACTACTATGGAAAGTAAAGGAGAAAACGACTGGTTATCGCGATAAATTGAGTGATAAGACTGCCGTATGGCGGCTTTCAATTATTGAACAGTGGTCGTAGTGGCATTAGTCGTAATTTCTCTAAAATATGAGCCCTTTTAATGCCACGTCGGAAAGCAAAAAGAAACACACTCACGTGAGATGCCATCGGTGGGCCCCACTCCTTTAATGCCACCTGTACTCCGTGTGGGTCCCGGGGCCGTTATCTACTGGATTTCACCCATACCTTACCCATTTGCAAAAGAAAAAAAAGGTACTCTTTTGTTTTCTTTTCGAATTTATTTAATTTATTTATTAGATTTAAACACTATTCTAGTTTTTTACCTTTTTTATTTTAGTATATATAATTTCGATTTTGGGTTATTTTAATTTTATACTTTTAAAAAATGGTGATTTTAATTTTTTTAATAATCTTTTATCTCTTTTTTTGCATCATTAATATCAAAATGATACTGTATTCAACAAATTTTTTGAAATATAATCATAGCTTTGTATTTATAATTTTTTAAATTAAGATTAAAATGGTAATTTTTTTAAAGCACTGTGACTAATTAGACGTTTTGAAAGTAAACGAAGTAAATTAAACCAAAGTTGAAAATAGAGGAACCAAAATGAATAATTTAAATGTACATGGACCAAAATAAACTAAAAATATAAGGACAAAAATAACATTTAAATATATGCATTATTATATCACTGTAGTCACTCATGTGCTCTAATGATATTTAACGAAATGGATGCTCGAGACTGCCTCACCCTAAACAAATACCAACAGAATCAATCTTAGGGCATCCCTTTGTTGATTGATCGCAGATTGGTGGCATAAAAAAAGAGGCCTAGCTAAACTGTTAACCATTTAGTCGATGCTCATGAATAAAGTACTTTTTGATGCTTGACAACTAAACATATTTAGTTTACATATATTTTGTCGCGTAATCTATACACTTAATCATCATCCATGAACCACCCCTCCCAAAAAAGTGAAAAATCAATATATTAAAGGTAAGTTTGACAATTTTTAAAGATAGTGAAAAATCAATATATTAAAGGTAAGTTTGACAATTTTTAAAGATATATAAATGGGAAATTAAGAATTCTCTAGAAAATCAGAAACTATTTTATATATTTAATCAAATAAATGTGAATTAAGATATTCCTGACATGAAAAATATTTTATATCAATAATTAGTCATCACATTGAATTTTCGACTTATGTGAGCTAACATCATTAGTCTTTTTCATGATGTGTTGCCCCACTTGTATATCTTCAGCAATTTTGAATGTACATTTATTGCTTACTAAAGTACGGTTAGGATATTAATAATTTTCTTAAAATTTAGGTTTGAGTTGTGACCTTTAAATCATCATTTAAATTTCGGTACTCTAAACAAAGGAGTAAGTACGGTAACAAAATTTTTAATCAGAAGAACAAATATGATCTAGAAAATTATTTGATTTCATTACCATATTCTTATTTTCATATTTATTTCTATTAAGTATATGAAATATATATAAGTTGGTGTTCTAAAAATTTCAATTTTCTTCATTATATTTTGGCCTTTTAATTAGGTATTTACTGCCCTTAAAATATTAAAATTTTTTAGTTAAAATAATGACATTAAAATACATTTTTGTCAATTAAATTTAAAATACTTTTATATCCTAATTTAATGAAAAAGGCATACCCACTTACAAAATATAGTAAAAAACTTATTTTATATAACTTAGCTTGAAATAATTTATTTAATTCGTAATGACTTGTTTTATAGAAAATGTACTATGTTAAAATAATATGATATTGAATGTAACTATTGTGGTTTAGGTTTAATTTTAAATTGGGTTTTCTGTCCAAAAAAAAAATTTAATTAGTTGTGTGATTTAATTATTTCAATTTGATCGCACAATGGTTTAATTAAAGTTTACCAAGTTTCAAATTAGTACGAATGGACGTCTTAAATACATTGTTATTTGATGGTTCAATACATAAATGGCCAAATCTTTAGGGTCAACAACAAGGGAAACTTTTCCGCAACAAGTTTGTTAACCAAATCCTTGATGCATTGAATATAGACATCTCTTCTCTCCATCCGAACAATAGGGCCGTTATGCTCATTACTAAACTTGTTGAAGAGATGAAATATAGCCAAGGTATATCTTTTTGATCAGAGGTTGAATCGATCATCAGAAGAAGAATTWGGCMAAAAATTRGGATACATTCTGGGAAAATAAAACTTCCATCGAAGAGAAGCAAATGAAAGGCTTTCATAAAAATTCTCGTAGAATCGAGAATGAAGTTTTCATTCTGTACATGCCAGATCATGAATTAGTAACTGCATCCAATCTCCAAAAAAAATTCCAATTGTTTCGAACTTTCTCTTTTTGGAATGAAATATTTACGGAATCCCCATGAATAGGATCAAACCTTATTCCATGGTATTTACATGAGATTCCTCTTTCTATAGACCTCTTCCAAACAGTATGCAATTCAATCTATAAGATCAATAATATGAGTGCACTTAGAGGATGAAAAATGTCGTGAGATGGTACTGCATCCAACAACATAGGTTAGAGTACTAGGAGACAGAGTCACATTGAGAAGAGTAATAAGCACTTGATCCTTTTCAAACCAGTGATCAGTAAAGGTTGAATTGGACTACGAAGAATTGATAGAAGCTACAGGTGAAGCCGAGGCAGGAGTTAAACTATCGATATAGCCAAAAAGTTTTGCATGACTTCAAAATTGGAGAACTATCGATATAGCCAAAAAGTTTTGCATGACTTCAAAATTGGTGAGATCTAAAATTTCTATGTAACATAATTTGTAGAATCCAGATGAATAATGATCAGATTACAAATATTCGTGAGAAGAACAATCGGAGAATTAATCGTGAGAACTGAAGAAACTGTTGAAGAATTCTTGGAGTTGTTAGGCTCCATTAGGACGAAAAAAATCTATCACTATATGTAGTACCATAATGATTTTGCAATCTAAACTAAATTAAACTTCACTAAAACTTTATTGATAATAATTCAAACGTATATATACAAATGGGTATGCTCCAGCTTAGATTACTTTACTTAAAAAAAAAAAAGATAACAATTAATGCATAAAATATTTGAGTAATATCTACATATCCAATACACTAGTGTTACCTCAACCAAAATTCTAACATCAACAGTAAATATAATTTTTAAAAACAGAAAATTAAAAAAATGGAGTTGTTACTTGAAAATCGAAATTAATCAGTTGAAAGCCGAAACTCCAGAGTCGGATATTATTATTTATTCTCATATTTAATTAGCAGCCAAGCAAGCCACTACTCAATTTTCGAATCACGTGAGCTGACGTCACCCACCGGGTCCCACCTCCATGACTTTTGCAGTCACGTGCTATCCCCACTCCTCATCGATCTTATCCACAATACGTGCCGTCCTATCAACTTGCCACGTCACTATTTCTCCTGATCACACCCAACGGTCTGGATCGCTCAATAAACTTGTTCGACATTTAACGTCTTCTTCCTCCTTTAAATCTCTGCACCGCTCCGCCATCGCCTCTCTCCCTCTGTGAGGGTTTTTTGATCGGAATTCTCTCTCTCTCTCTTTGTCTAAACCTCCACCGGAATCCGCTAACTTACGCCGAGCGCCGTCGTCCGTCATGGGCCTACTGGACCAGCTTTGGGACGATACGCTTGCCGGACCGAGGCCGGACTCTGGCCTCGGCAAGCTCCGCAAGCAACCGACGTTCTCTTCTCGATCCACCTCCGGCAAGGGTACGCACGTCACCAATCTAATCAATTTAGACGCCGGAGCTTAATTTCTAAACATTAATTTCGTTTCTCTGTTCATCGAATTAATCGCGCTTCAAAACGCTTTCGAATTCGATCGATACATGGAGCCCTAAGTAATAGGTTCAAACTCTTGAATAATTTTATAATTGACTGAAGACGATCTATGTAGCTTAGTAGAAATCGGCGATTGAGGTGAAAAATCTTTGGAAAATGACCGAGTACTGGAGTGTTTATGTGGACGAAATCCTCTGGCTCTGTTGGTTCTGTGCTTGTAATGCGTGAACGAACTAGATCTGATCTGAAATTTTGAGCGGATTGCGAACAGACTAATTTTGATAATTGGTTTTCTTGTTCGTTTGGAAGCAGAATCGAATGCAGAGAGTGCGAAGAGTTACGAGGAAGGTGCTTCATCGGAGGAGACGATTAGAGTTTCGAGAAGAATCATGATCGTGAAGCCGCCGGGATATCAGTACGGTTCGCCTCCGGTGTCGGCGGCCGGCTCCGCTACGCCGCCGCAGTCTCCGTTTTCCGGTAATTTGCTCCACTGTTCAGTTCTTACTCTGACTGAAATTACCAGAATGCCACTGTGATGATGATTATTATTATTATTATGGTTTGGTTTCCGGTGAAACGGCGGAGGGAGACGGAGTTCTCCTTAAAGTGGGGAGTAAGGGCTTTTTGTTTTGTCGTTTTGTGGAGTTGTCTCCTTACGAATGGACAATCCGGTAATTAGTAATTATTGTATTTGAAATGACCATATCACCCTCATTGGACGTGTAATAATGCATGGAAATAGCCTTCCGTCGCCGTCGCAATTAAAATAATTAATTCTAATATTTAAGTGTTAACTGTTCAGCTCAGCTCTAGCAGGCTATCATTAATTAATAATAAATAGGATATATATATTTTTTAAATAAAAAAGTGTAGAGTTGTTATAATGGTAGTCAACGAGGAAGAAGGAAGGTGGATGTTGATGGATAAAGATCGAAGTATTGTTCGTATGACAATTTGATATGGTTCAATCTCAAATATTTGTTCAATTTCACCAGGATAGAGATTCACTCTAAAACTTTCTCATATTTTCGATTACATATATTTAATAAATAAATTTTAATAATGTTTTCATGTAATAGGATTTTTTCTTTCTGGAAGAGAAGGCAAATAGATCATTTACCGATCAATTTTAATTATTTCATTTCTTTTGTGCATAATAATGTGACAAATCAATCCTATTTTAACATGGGGTGGATTGGGTTATGTGTTGTTATGGAGGTAGAGAATCATTTCGGTTCCGAAGAAGATCGACATCGGATGCTTATGAGAAGACAAGCGAAGTCGGACCTCGGACTCCTACTTCTCCTTATGACATGTGAGATATGAGATAATGTCTTTTGATGAGGATGATTGATATATGATATATGATATATGAATCCCTCTAGATCTCTCTTAGATTTGTTTTAGTATCCTCCTCCCACCTACCTTTCTCTTGTTTTTGGTGTTTAAGAAATGTTTGAAACTTTCAGTGGGTGTTGAATTTGTGTGTAATATGTAGTTTTAATGGGTGTGTGTTAGGAAGGTGTGAGCATACATATGGTTGTAGTTTGTAGTTATCCTCCTTTGTAATGGTCATGATGGTGTCTTTAGTTTGTGTATATATAAAGAAAGAGACAACCTTTTTTCCATTTCCTAATTTATGCTTTCATTTTCCTTATTTATCTTCAATATCAAATTTCTATCCACATGTTCATGTGACTAGATTTAATATTGACTAAATTGTTACAAAATTGAAAATTTCTATAGTATCTTAAAAAATCGATCCGATACCAACAAAATATTATTAATATGTTCATAATATAAATATATCTTTTTTTGTTAAAAAATACATTTTGTCCCTGTAATTTTACTAAAGTAACAGTTTAGTCACTGTCATTTAAAATTTGTAACAATTTAGTCTTTATTGTAATTTTTTTATTAAAATTAAGTGTCAAATTTTATCATATAACAATTTAATCTTTGTAATTATAAACATATTTGCCCTCTTTAGTTTATCAACCTATATATATATATATATATAAGAGATTTAATTAAAAAAAATTATCAATAAGGATTAAATCGTTAGGAACTTTAAATTACAATGACTAAATTGATACATATTAAATTTCAAAGACTAAATTGTTACCAATCTGAAAGTAGAGGGACTAAATCGTTATAAACTAAAGTTCATGGACTAAATTGTTACTTTAGCCGAAGTATAGGGATCAAAATGTTTTTTAACTATATTTTTTAATCTTATTTAAAAGGCATGAATTAATGAAATGTTTATTTGTTTATTTAAATACTTGTTGCCTGTTTGAACTTAGTGTATGATCAAAAGATTGTAAGTTCAAATTCCTACTTACATGTACTCGAATTTCTTTCTTTTAATACTCGAATTTCTTTCTTTTAATAATTGTTATAAATTTTTATTTCTATATCATTTTAGAAATATATATTGCATGGACATTTTATCGATAATTTAACTTATATTTTCATTACGTGAGACCTCAATATTAATTTCCATCAATATCAGTGCTTTAAATTTAAATTTCTATTTTCATACCTTTTTTTTTTGCGAATTTAAAAATACATCTTTGCCTTTGTGTGATAATAAATGAGAATAATA